CCCTCCCTTCCTTCTTTTCTTCTTTATGTTTTTGGGCTACACCCAGCTAGGCTCAGGACTGACTCTTGACTCTGTGCTCAGTCCTGGTGGGCTAGGGAACCCTGTGGAATGCTGGAGGTAAGACCTGGGTCTGGGTCCCCACTGTCCCATCTCTCTGGCCCCACTGGCTAGAGAACAACAGGAAAGGTAGGGGGCACTTTAGTGATGTCCCCAACCCCAGCCAGAAAATGACAAGAATCCGTCCAGTCCCTGTCAGAGCCTGAGAGTCGAGTTTCTGTGCGTCCGGGACGGTTTGATGGGCTGCGCTGGCTGAGGTCAGAGAATGTGAACCGCCTCTTGTCTCGTGCGGGCCGTTTGGGCCATTCATCCCCCCTGCTATGCCCCCACCACCCTGGCTGCATTCCCTAGCCCCTGGGGAAGCCCCCAGCCGACAGACCCCGGCTACTCTGGCCCATGTAGACGACATGGCCAGGTCTCCAGCCGACATTTGTGTGTGCCAGCAAGCCCTTGTGGGGCACGGCCCATGTCGGAGTGTGGGGTGGTGGTAGGGTTGCGTCTGGGTGCCCCGCCCACACAGCCGGTGCCCTCTGGGTGCTGTGCCTCCTCCACCCCCAGATCCCCCTTTGCCCTGGATGTCCCCGAAACGCCCTTCCACAGTGGCTCTGGGAGTCTGCAGCATCCTGAGATGTAGCTGCTTGGACCCAGATGCAGAGAGGCAGGGTGTGAGGGAGATGAAGCCTGAATCCCGGGCGGCGGGTAGAAGGACCTGACGGGGCTCGCTGCTTCTGAGTGGGCCGAGAGGAGCAGTGCTCCTAATCACCTCTTTGTTTTAGGGAACTTGGGGAGATTCGGGAACTCCTCTAAAAACTACTTAAAATGTGCTTGTGTCCTCTGAGGCCCTTATTCCCTTCTTAAAAAGTACTTATTAAAATATTTGATGATGGTTCAATAAGAGGAGAGGACAGAGACTTGCTGCGGAGTAGGGATGGGCCGGAGTTTCCCGGGAGGCAGCAGGGCGTCCTGGGAAGTCCAGCGCCATCTGGGGGCCTGCATGGGGATGGACTTGTTCGCGCGTGACGGTCAGCAGGTGGCACCAGCAGCCAAGCAAATCTCGGCGAGGCCCAAGTGCTGCCTGGTCGCCCTGGCTTAGGGGAAATGGCACATCCCGTAGTTTCAGAAGCTTGGAGTTAACACAGATCGCTTTCACCCCTCGAGAGCTCCAAAGTTAATCTTGTCAAACATCTCTGGTATTGATACGATCGTGAAAATTAACCATTTCAAGTTCAAATAATACATGACAGAAGATTTTGTTTTTAAGGGCATTATGGCTGTTAACGGCAGCGGCAGGGCTGGGAGTAACTCCGACGTGGAAGTATAAAGTCCTGAGTTTTATTTCTGAAATGTTTCTATTTCTCCCTCCACCTGCCAAGAGAAAAATGAAAAGAAGAAGAAAAGGCAATTGCTTGGCCATTCAGTAGAGCCTTTTTGCTGGCTTAGGATTCTGGAAGTTTTTGCTTTTGATTTTTAAAAGCCAGAGTCCAGAGAAATAGTCCAGCCAGCAGGGCATTTGCTTTGCACAAGGCTGGCCCGGGTTTGATCCCCAGTGCCCCATGTCTTCCCTGGAGCCCTGTTGGGTAACATTGCTTTGTCCTTCAAGAAGCTTAGGTTTTATCTGGTTACACCCACCTCAGTGCTCCTGAAGCACTTCCACTTCCATTGTGTTTATCTGTAAACAGTCTTCCCTATGCTCTCCAACCCAGTTAATCAGCTTTCCCCTTAATCAGACTTTGTTAATTTGTAAGATCAGTTTCCCAGAACTCTATGATTTTATATGTATGAGTGAAATATTGCCTTTCTCCTCTCCTTATGCCTTATGAACAGTTTACTTTAAAGTAATATCCTTTTGTATAGATACAGAAAGACCGTTAACATTATGCTTTGTAATTTAGGATTTGATTGGCCTTGAATATTATTCACTCCCGGGCATCATCTTTCTCGACTTAAGCCTCAGTTGCCCATAGTTCCTAACACCCCAAAAGCAGGGTCCCGACGAGGGACTGAATGGACTCAGGGCAAGCAGTGAGCTACCCTGGCAGCGAAATGGGCCAGGCCAAAGTGCCACGATTCTTAACTATAAGTTAAGAGTTTGATCATGGACAAATGCTGTCATGATCCAAGGTAACGACAAGACTAGGATCCTGCTAGGGGTGGGAAAGACTATCTGGCCTGAGCACCGCAGTCTGAGATCAAGATGGCCCTAGGAGAGCAATTCTATAAGTTTAAGATATTTCTTACTGTATCCATACAAAATGATTTATATTATATTCTTGTACGCTTGTCGGTCAAGGAGAGGAGAGGCACGCCCATGGAATTCTGCTCTAGGGTGGGTCCTCCTGCTAAGGAAGGATCTGTCCTAGGAGCGGTCTTCCCTGAGGCTAAGATTTCTACCCCTGTTGATCTCCACCCCTATTGATTGTGACCGCACCTATGTAATTGTTTTCCCCAATTCCTGACTGAGAGAGAATTTAACTATACTGTAGGAGCGGGCTGGGGCAGAAGAGCAGAAGGAAGAAGAGAGTTCAGAGAGGATCAGAGCCCAGACTCCAGAGAAGGAGGATGAAGGGGAATGGAGAAGGAGAATGAAGTAGCTGGGGGAGGAAGAATGGGGGCAGAGATAGAGAGACAGATGAGGAGAGAATGAGAATAAACTACGACTAATACCAACCAGCCTGGCCCTCGTTCCTTCCTCTGCCTGACCATCGCCATCGACCTCTCCGGGGTGGTAGAAGGGTGAGACTACCGAACGCGGGTGGCGGGAGAGATAGAGCCGCCGCCGTGTGGGTGCCGTGCCCCCCAAGTTGTGTGAGTTTACACAGAGCCCCCTGCCAGGAGTAACTCCTGAGTGCAGAGCTATGGGTGTGGCCGCCCCTTCTCCCCCCCCAAAAAAACCCTTTATAAATAAGTAATTGCTGATGTAGCTGTTCGGATCATGATCACGATCACGACCATCCTGTTATTCATCGATTGCCTCGAGCAGGCCCCAGTAACGTCTCCTTCGTCCTAGCTGTTCGGAATAATCTGATAAATTTATGCCGTTGGGATTTCCTAATGGGAATCCCAGTGTGCCGGCACTGCACGTTTTTCTCTGCCTGAGCACTGGAGCTGAGAAGTTGGGGCTCAGCTCGAGGTCTGCCATCAGCACCGAGGCTGGCGTTGGCACACAGGTGCCTTGGTGCCAGGTACCAGCTTCAAGTCCCACGATAAAGCCTACGAAGCCGCTGTGCCTCTCAGCGCTCTGCCCGCCCTTCTGGCCCCTCCCGGCCCTTCCCTGGCAGCTGGCGGCTGGCGCCGACCACACCAACCCTCCTGGTCCCTCAGTGTGGCCTCAGCCGCTGTGTCACCGCAGGGCCTTTCCCGAGCCGAGCTGTTTCCTGGAATGCAGTTCCTCCTGATCTGGGTGTGACCTTCCCTTTCTGGCGCTCCGCTCTCCTGACTCCAGGAGACTTTCCCTGACCGCCAGATCAAAAGATTGTCACTCCTCATTTCTCAGAGTTAATATCTGATTGCTGCATAACATTTTGCAAGCGTTGACTCGATGCCTTCATATGCTCCACTAAATACTTGTGTCACATGGTGCAGTGAGTAAGAGTAATTAGCTCTACTCCGGGCACCTCTTCTGTTATGTGTTGCAGCTCCCCTACCCCCTCCCTCCCTGTGTGTGCCCTTCCTGCTCAGACCCTCCGCTAGGGCCTGAGCTTTCCTCGAGCTGGGTCCAGTTTACACGGCTGGTTCTTATCCCTCTTATTGGTGACCGTGCTGGGCACATAAGTCTTTCGTACATCTTGGTTCAGTGGATCCGTGGTGACTGTTGGAAGTAGATGTGTCACAGGCCAAAGGAGTTTATGATCCTTTTCTGTGGACACTCTGAAAATGTGAGGACGAAAGTGGACCAAAAGGCAAAGTCCAGGTTCTTGATTGTGTGTCTCTGTGTAAATTCTCTGAGTGTGGGGGGTTCCCTCTCGAGCAGGCACTGGGGTTGGTAGTAAAATTTGTGATTGCACCCTAGGACAGATAACTGCAGTCATGGTTTATTTATTGTCTGGAGACAGCCCTGGGGGTGCTGGGGGCCTCCTTGTGATGCTGTGCTCAGGGTCACTCTCGTGGGGTGCCAGGCAGTGAACATGGGGGAATGAACACAAGTGAAGCCTGTGCTTCAGCCCTCGCCGCCTGCCCCTCAGCCTGCTCATTATTTATTAAGCATCTACTATGCACCAGTACTCTCTGTAAATGATGCCATGCATTTACTTTCATTTAATCTTGGGCATTGGTTTTCCAGTATGTAAATGAGATGTGTCGATAAAATGATCTGTTCTTTGTCTTGCACAAGTAGAAATTATGACTGTCCAGTAGAAATATTAGGATCATGGTTTATTGTGTATTTACTGAGAATGATAAGTTCATTGTACCTCATTAACCCGATGAATAAGTTCATTCAGAAGCCCTGGGTAGTGCTCATTCAGTATTAATACAATTTTCAGGCTAGGGGCTGGAGAGATAAGTACAGCAGATAAGGCACTTGCCTTGCTCATCTCACCTGTGTTTGGTCCCTGGTAAGCTTTGAGAAGCAGCCAGGTGTGACCCAAAAAACAAAATATAAAAAATAAAATAACAAAATAAATACTCCCTCCGCAACAAAAGAAAAAACCTTTAAAACTTAAAACCCTTTAAAGAATGCGCCCATTTTTTGGTAGGTGGGGGGTTCCCTCTCTCTTACTTAGCCCTCTCATCTACCTGGAGACCATCTTCCTTGCTTTCATGTTGGGGAAACTGAGGCTCGAGGATGTTGAAGTTCTCCTCAGCCAGGGCCACACACGAGTGCAGTGGCCTTTGCACATGTGGGCATTCTCGTTGGCCTGCTCCTCTGCAAAACGTCACGGTGGCAGGTTGCATAGGCGCTGGCCATTCCCGGCCTCTGAACGTCTTGTCCTTTCCCCGAGCAGGCCGTCAGAAGGGGCTGATGCGGAGGAGAGGCTGAGACAGCTCACGATGACCACCACCGTAGCCACAGACTACGACAACATCGAGATCCAGCAGCAGTACAGTGACGTCAACAACCGTTGGGATGTGGACGACTGGGACAATGAGAACAGCTCAGCGCGGCTCTTTGAACGCTCGCGCATCAAGGCGCTGGCAGGTCAGTCATGGAGTCTGGGGGAGCTGCCCTGTCTCCTTCCCACGTCATGCCCTCTGCCCGCACGCCCGGGAGAGCCGACTGGTTGTTCGGTTAGCTGGCTGGGTCCTCCGGTCAGTAATTGCGAGTGCAACCGCGCGTGGGGTCCTTCACGAGGCCGCCTGCGCCTTTGGGTGCCCGTATCTTCCATTCCTGAGCGTCCGAGCATCTTCTTGCCCACAGCAGTACTCAAATAGGCCCGTGCTGCCTGGGAGACCCTATGGGCCTGGACTGCTACGGTCAGGTGCCCTTGAGTGATGGGGGAGGTCAGGGTTGTTGGTCAGACCCGCAGCAGCTGAACCTGGCGAGGCACGTTCGACCCAGTGACAAGTGAGTTCACCCGTGACCAGCTGGAATGAGCAGGCATACCCTTACTGGAGGATTCCTCACTCTCCCCTCTGAGCACTGTGAACTGGCTTTCTTGTGGTGCTAGCTGGGTGGGGAGATGGTTTCTGTGATGTTGCTTGGCCGCCAGGCAGCGGTTCTATTACGGTGACGATGTCTTATACTGGATATATGAAGAGTGGATCAAGTTGGGGTTGACTCTGTGTCTTAGATCTGCACATCGAGGTTTTAAGTACAGGTTTCCTAGTGGTGAAGTTGGGTTTTTATGTTTTTAATTATGGCAAGTAAATCAAACTGACCACACAGGTAAGTTTATAGCTTAACAGAGCTCACATTCAAAAACTCTGTGACTGGAGCAATAGCACAGCAGGTAGGGTGTTTGCTTTGCACATGGCTGACCCGGGTTCAATTCCCAGCATCCCATGTGGTCCCCTGAGCACTGCCAGGAGTAATTCCTGAGTGTAGAGCCAGGAGTAATTCCTGTGCATTGCTGGGTGTGACCCCAAAAGCAAAAAAAAAAAAATCTGTGACCTTTATAACATAATAAAGGATTTGAATCACCTGATGTTCTCTCGATTATAAGAGGAAGGCAACACAATCCAACATGATTTAAATGATAGAAGTTATTGATCACATTGTAGACAAATATGTCTGTAAGCAAGTAAAACCCAGACCCTGTTTCTTTTTCCCTGCATTTTGGGGTTCTGTGCCAGCGGGACAGTGCCAGGTAGTCCGAACTGCCTGATCTGGGTTTCAGATTCTTTGGAGCAGTGACTTTTATTTACTTTTTCGCTTTAAACTTAATTTTGGGTAGCATGGTCACAACAGTGCTGAAGTGTGTGCTACTGATGTACAAAATCATTGTACCCCCCTCCCCCCGCCCCCGTGCCAGAGACCCTCCACCAGGTCAGGCCAGCAGGTAGCAGGGATTCCGGTCTTTTCTCGGATTACCTGCAGAGAGGCACAGTTGGAAGACCCTGTTCAGAGCGAGGGAGAGAGACTTGTGTGCCCGAGCCTCGACTCACCTGGTGCCTGCAGGCCTCCAGGTTCCCTGTCACTGTCACTCAGGACTTGAGTCCTGTGCTTCACCAGAATCTCGCTCCTACTGAAGTCGAAGAAGAGGTTGTCTGAGCACTCAAAATCGGGATGCACTTTGGAAAGGAGGGGGTTGGTTTGGGATGGGGGTGAGGTAGGATTTGTCCCATTTATAGTTTGGCTAGAAAGTTTAGGCTATACCAGGAAGGAGGTAGAAGGAAATAGAAGTAGGGTGCGGCTTACTCAATGTCATGGAAAATTTTTGCAGTTGTCTTTAGGATAATTTGCCTCTTGAGTGGTAGTGATGTAAAGATCTTTCTTGAGCTTGTTTGATTCAGAGGAAATGAATGATTAATCAAATAGTTTCTCTGAAATTAGAGCTTTATTTTCTAGCTTATTGTTAACCAGAACCCTTATGGAATCAAAGATCCTGATTTATGCCAGTAGACTGTTGGGTTCTTTAACATATTACATTTTATTCTTGAATCTTCATTTGGGTCTTATAGGCCAGTATGCCAGTTAGCTTTCCTTGTGACTCATTTACATTTGGTTCTAGGGTCTGTATTGGCCCCCTTTGTTCTTTTTTGTCTCCATTTTTGTCTTTGCTCGCTCCACCCAGTGGCGCTCTGGGACTGTTCCTGGTGGAGTGGTGCTTGGGGTCTCAGTGATGCTGGCAGATTCTGCAGTGACCGAAGCCAGATCTCAAAAACGCAAAGCAGGGGCTGGAGAGATAGCACAGTGGGTAGGGCGTTTGCCTTGCACACAGCCAACCCGGGTTCGATTCCCAGCATCCCATATGGTCCCCTGAACACCGCCAGGGGTGACTCCTGAGTGCAGAGCCAGGAGTAATCCCTGTGCATCGCCAGGTGTGACCCAAAAAGCCAAAAAAAAAAAAAAAAAAAAAAAAAAAAAGCAAAGCATGTGCATTCACCCTGTCTCCCTGGCTTTTATCTTCTTTTTATTAAAAAAAATGTTGTTTGTTCTCGGGCTACTCCTGGTGCTGCTTGGGGCTCCCTTCTGGCTCTGCACCAGAGATCCCGTCTACTGGTGCTTGGGTCCCAGATGTGGAGCCCGTAGTCGACACCCTGGTCAGCTGCATGTGAGGCACACGCCTTACTTGCCTGTTGTCTTCTTGGCCTTCCATCTTTTTGTTTGAGGAAGATTTTATTTGTAAACTATCTAGCAGTCCTTGTGTTCTGTAAGCTCCAGAGGAGATTTCCCCAGTTTTCCTTACTGTTGATTGGTTCTCTCTCCACTTGCTTGGATGTTTCCCCTGTTGTTAAAATGTCTGAACTATTGTGGTTGCAACAGGGATCAAGCACTCCCTGTGGTACCTGTTGCATACCAGGCATTGTTGTAGATGTACTGGACAGATTGACAGCTATAAATACTATAACAATCGTAAGAGGGGGAAGGTTATTATCTGTAGTGTACAGACAAGGAAACTGAGACACAGGGAGATTATGTGTCTTGTCCAGGTTCAAATTGCTGGTAAGTGACTGAGGGCAAGTGGTCCAAAGCATGTACTTGACTATTTTTTTGTATTCAGTAAAATGCTAAATTATTGCAAGGTCGGTGGTGTAATGCAGTGGTTCTCTAGTTCCAGTATGTGGACCGATGCAGGCGGGTCTTTGGTGTCGAATCTTTGGAAGCCGCTGGTAGAGTATGGCCAGCAGGCCTGAATTCCTTAGCGTCTTCTCTTCATGATGAGCCTCTTACCGCAGAGGGATTTGTGCTGATGGCAGCTAAGGGTCGGAATGGTCAACGGACAGGGCAGGCGGTCAGAAGGTGGGAAATGTGTTCTGCTCCACTGGCTTCTGCGGGAAAGGGGCTTGGAGATTGCGTTCAGAGCCTGGTGGCCAGTCATGGAAGCAGCGCACCTATTTCCAGAGTGGCACTTGCAGTCACCGCTCCCCAGCTTCTGACGGAGGGCACGTCAGTATGAGGGGCTGCACGGGGGAAGGCTCGAGTCTGTCCACCCGGCCTGGCCTTCTGCACCATGGCCCTTTCCTCAGTGGTACCTTTTATTCTAAACTGGCAAGTACTGTTTGTTTGTTTGTTTGTTTGTTTCCCTATGGGTTATTCTAGAAAACTATTAAATTGGAGTCAGAGTGGTGATGAGACACGCTGAAGCTTATTTATGACCACTCAGAAGGCTGGTGGTCTGGGGAGAGCCGCCTACTGGCCAGGCTGTCAGCGCCAAATTACTGTTCTGGACGCCGGTACCCCCTGTATTTGTATGTCAGAAAGGCATTTTATAGAGGAGGTTCTGCTGGTTAGTGTGTGACATGTCCCTTATGACACCAAAGCAGGAGTCAGCTGCTGGTCACTTTCCGAGGAAGAAAGCGGGGCTGGTTATGTCCCAGCTCCCGGAGAGGGTCCCAGAGAAACCCTGATGAAATTTCAGTGGCGATGAGAAGAAATTTTGCATGAGAGCCTTTCTGCTAAACCATAACCCTGACAAAGTTTGTGACTTTTTGAGTTTATATGATTACAGGGACCGTCATCAGAAATGACATGAAAGTATCTAATTACATTTTTTCTTACCATGTTTAGAGTAAATAACAATTATTAATGACTATAAAAACTACTCTCTTTAAACCTAGTCTTTTATTTGAATGACCAAGAATTTTGATGGAGCATTTAATTAGCTAACCTAGTGATTTATTTTAAAAATTCAGATTTGCACTGTGGAAAGAAATTAATACAGGCCACGGAAATTTTTAGAATTCTAAATGGGCTGGAGCGATAGCAGGGCTGGAGCGATAGCACAGCGGGTAGGGCGTTCGCCTTACACGCGGCCAACATGGCCGACCTGAGTTCGATTCCTCCGCCCCTCTCGGAGAGCCCGGCAAGCTACCGAGAGTATTCGATATGCCAGACACAGTAACAACAAAGTCTCCAATGGAGACGTTACTGGGCCCGCTCGAGCAAATCGACGATCAACGGGAGGGCCTTTACCTTTACCTAATAAAAATAGGATACTAGTATTCAAATAATATTGGAAATTCTGGCTGTAACCATTAGGTAAGAAAGAGATATATTAAGGCCATTCCAGTTGGAAAGGAAGAAATCAAACTGCCACTGTTTACAGATGATGTGATGCTCCTGGCAACCCCACGTCTCTATGAAAATGACTCTACGAAAAGGCTCGCAGAGACAGTAAGCGTGTACAGCGGCAGTCTGCAAAATCAGCACACTGAAATCAGATCAGGGCATTATGGTATGTGACAGTGAAATAGAAGAGAGACTAAAAGGTGATGATAAAGACAGTCCAGATATCTAAAACATCATCAACGTGTAATCAAAAAGTTGGTATGCTAATGTCTTTGAAATCCAGCATATATTTTGCTATCCACATCTCATGTGGTCAGGAATCACATGTGTCCAGTGATTACTGGATTGGGCAGTGCAACCCTTAAGTACCACCTATAAACCCTTTCTGATGACTAAAATGTTTTAGATCCTGCAGATCAAATGTGGACTCTGAATATTCATATTTAGTCTGGGCTATATTTATAAAGAAATAAGTAGATAATGCCTTTAGATTCTGACGATGAATAATGCATCAAATCAATCATGAT